GCTTCCTCGTGGTACCGAAACGATACGTTTCCATCAAACCGCGTCGTCGTCGTTCAATTATCCGAGACACCGTAACGAGGAAGCGTTGATTTATCGCCTAGCCGATGAAATGTGCGCTATGATACGGCGTTGGAAGACGTACGGCTGATCCGTGAGCATAGCACGTCGGTGCCAGTCGTTAATTAGAGTGGAACGATTATTCGATCGATCGCGAGTTAACGACTTCTTGCCTGGGATACGTGGAACCGTACGACACGCTCGATAGAGCTACGTAACGCATTCTCGAAGAATGTTAATTAAACGTAATTAGAAAATCTATTACCAACAGTGTATACGTGTATGTGTGTGTGTATGGATTGGGGATGACTTAGGAGTGGTGTCCTCGAATTTATAAATTATATTAGCTGAGTTGAGTGTCGGGGAACTCGAGGGGTAATTGGACGATGGCCATTTCTTCACTGGAGGATGTTGAGTGAGAAATTTCGTTACTGTTTCGTAGAGAAAATTAGTAAATTCTTGTTTAGTTGTGTTATTTTATGTAGTTTAAATATATTGTATAATAACGTTGTTACGTATAAGGAACTGTCTTTCAATGGTTCTGACAGGATTTGTTCAGCAATTTTTTTCTATGTAAAGAAACGAGGAGGGATTATGATATAATCAGGCTTGGAGTATAATAAGAAGTGGAGCTTAAACTTCTATAAAATAAACGAACTCTTGGAGCAGACCGATCGGCAACTCATGACTCACCTAGCTCCTCCTACACCATCCTTCGCAACCACTTTACGATACAATATACTCCACTATCAAACGATCTATATAGACGCAGGATTGTTAATACCATCCTCCCGTATCAAGACATCAACTCGAGACGCTAATCAGTAAGGGATCTGATCGGTAACAGCTTCCAGAATCGATCAAGGATTCATTTGTGAAACCTCGCACAGCCCAGAAACGTTCTTATATACATTCGTTCTCGATTCTCTCTCGTTAAGAAACTTAACAAAACAAATATCTTCACGCATCAATGGTTGCTTGGGTTGATTGAACCGCCGTTCTGTGCTAATGAAGAAGAAGGGCCAGGCTTTAAAACTATTCTCCCCCGTGGTTCGTTCGCCCGTGAGAGAAGAAAGAATGGATTCCATACTTTTTAATTGCTCGTGTCGCTTCCTACCCCCAACAACCTCTCTTTCTCTCGTTCGCTTTTTTTTCGTTGCTCCTCTTCGGGCGGAGGCCCCCCTCCTCTTCGTCCAGCACGCGACAAAGCGCGTGCCACGCATCAAGCGAAGAGAGACGCGGTCGCGCGCGACCCTCGTTACGTGGAAATCAGCGCAGATTTATCGAGCAAATTGGATCGAGTCCTTCCGTCGTGGGGGCCGAGCGTTGTTCCCATGTCGGTGGCCGCCAGAGAACAATGGTTCTCAACCCTTCGCCTCGCAAGTGGCTGACTCGACTGCCTGCCTATGACTAAGGAGTTCCGCGAAACGTGTATCCACTCGTCCACGGTGCGGTTTACACGTCCCTGGTGGAATTGAGACGTGAGGCTTGTCAGAAAGTGAAGAAGAAGCTTGCTATCTTGTCCCCTAGATCTAGGATGAGAGAAGAGTGGTGAGAGACGTGCAAAGCTCTCGTAGATGCTTGCCCTACTGAGAATTATGCGAGACTTCGTTTTTAGTTTTTCAACAGTTTCCTGTTTGTACTTCGAAGGGATTATTCGGTGGACAGAGTTTTCTTCAGAGTTTCAGAGGGAGATTCATCTAATTTTTGCAATTTCTTGCTGTACCCAGAGAAATTTGCGAATTTTAAGAAATGGTAGCCTTGGAGGACGCTTTTTGTGAACCTCGAAACTTATTCTAGAATTTTTTAATATGCATAGAGGTGTTGAAAGATGCTAGCTTCCAAGGATGCCTGAATTACATTACCAATGGTTACTCGTCAAAAATTATACTTGCTAAGAACGAATCATCGCTACAAATTACGATACAAATAATTTCCAATCTTCAGGTAACCAAAAATTACAGCTCCCAAGTGTATACACTCCATGTTCCTTCGTTCCCTACCAATTTTTGCACGCCAGATATCAAAGGAATAACTAAACAATAAAAACAACCAGGTATAGAATAAACCAGTCTAACAAAAATGTATTTTCCTACTGTTGTAGGGTGTTGAAACCACCTGGTGGCGGAAGCAGCGACATATTCGGCGCTGCGCCCGAAGAGACTAGCCCTCGCCGCGTGAAGAACCACAACCAATCACAGCTGGGCTCGGCGTTGTTCGGAGAAACACCGAACAGCAACAGCAACAGCAACGAAACGCCGCGTAACAAGCCCGGTAATGATTCATACAATCGCCTGTTTGGCCCTCCCGATGCCCCACCCACCACCCCAAACGCGAAAAATCACATGCGCAGCAATATCTCCCTCAGCGGGGAGTCGACGTCCTCATCAATGTCGTCCGGCGCCGCGACGTCGCCCGCGAAGAGCACCGCCAGCTCGGACTCGATCGCGGGCGTTCTCAACGGCTACGTCGCCAGCAATGGCAACAATCTTATCAACGATGTCACAGGTAAGGGTGTAAATTATCCTATCTCGAACCCATCTGCCCACCTATCCTCACCCCCACCCCCCAACTCTTCCCGCCTACCCTTCTTACTCTTCTTTCACTGGATACGATGGTGTACGTCGAAATAACCCCAAATGCGAGATACAGTTTCAATCCTTTGGGTATACCGAGTTTCAACGCACAATGATAAGCTTGCAGATTCATTTCTTTTTAGTTCATTTTAACACTTTGGCTGCCGCGAGATACGCCGGCGTGTCACACTACACATTAGTTTATATTGTAATTTTCATATGTATAAAATTGTACGAGATGTTTTTACGGTTTCACGTCGCTTCGTGAAAAGAGTAAGGTACATGAAGTTTTATTGCTTATTGAAAAAATGGGAAGGATCGTAGAATAAAGGAAAGTAAGTTTTTGAGAAGACATACTATCGTTTGATATGTTTGCACATGGGGAAAGAAATGTGGAAATTTCTCCGGCAGCCAACGTGTGTTAAGACACAGGTTGATATTTTATTTGACGAAATTTTTTATTCGCAGCACACGATACGTTCAGAATTTCCATGAATAATTAATAAACGATAATAATAGATGAACTAGCTTGCTTGGTATAATGCAAGCGAAACAGGTATAGTCGGTGGAAGAGATATAGCGAGATTCGTACAAGGCTCGAGCGAATCGACAGAAATCCGAGGAGGGCCCAAAATCTCTGTCAGAGGTCCCACGAGATAAATCTTCGACTTGATTTAATGAAATGTCACATACCGGCCATGAGCGTCGCCGCATTAATTTATTACCCTCGTTATATTTCTTCCACCGACTATACACACTCCTCAAAGTTGAAGTTATATTTCGCATTTCCGCATGCCGCGCTGTGGACACTAATTCAACGCTGTCGCACATTGCACATATATGAGTTCAGTGAACCCCTCCACCAAATGTAACTCAAATGTGCACAGTACGTTATTGTGACAAATAAAACTGTGTAAAAGGAGTATTTTGCATTTGGGGCCGGTTTTCACGTGCGCCACCCGGTACTTCTTCTTCTGCTTTCCCCCTTTCTACCATCCCCGTCCAATATGTACAATCTCGAGAAGGATTTTACTGTCTCTCTCTGGTCAGGTGAACTGGTGTACGGTGCGAGCGCGAGGGAACGCGGCTAACGAATTTGTGCACGAGTGTTGTTGTCGAGCCACACACACTGTAATCGAATTTTTCTGTGCTCGGTAATTTTTGCCATTGTCCAAAATGAATCGATCGTTCGTTGGGTCGATTTTAACATTTGAACCAGTGAAATACTGTCCAGGTGTTTAACGAGGATATTTCGATATGGAGGTGATAAAGTGTGGTGAATGGTGGGGGGTGAAGGCAAAAGATAACACGTCCTCGAGCATTCGATTTATTTTGGACGAGCAATAGCTGGACTTGTATCTTACAGCACTATTTTAACGACACACGTTGAACGTGGGTCAAATTTTTTCTTGGTTTTCTCAAGCAGCTTGATCTCTCGATGATTATCTTCTCTATTTTATTACGTTGTCGTGCAGTTTTTCACGCCTGTTTTCTCTCTTTCTCTCGAGAACCAGTTTGGTTTTCTGCTAATCACGCGTGTTACCACTCGATGATACTCGACAATTCTCGCGTATTTTGTTCTTTCACTTTTTTTTTTTTTTTACTTTTTCAATATACGATAGATTGCTGCTCTGACAATTATGCAATCGCTCGAACTGCAATATTATTATATACACTTAAACTCGCACTGTATTCGAGCTACCTTGAAATATGTGTCTGTGTGTCGCAGGCTCTTTCACGTGATTATTAAAACGTGTTTGTTCGTTGCACCGCCAACATTCGTTGGAAATTTTGGGACACTTTTTGTCGTGTGTGCTTTGTTACGCGTCTTCTTGTGTTCACGAGATGATATTCGTTTAGTATCCTTTTCGATTGAACAAATTAATTGTGTCGTTATTGTACCGTTTGTCGCTTCAGTAATCACGATCTGCGCGTTTCTTTCTCTCGATCGAACGGAAAAAGCAAAAAGGATAACAGAAATTCGATCGATCTTTTTTATTCTGGAGCTAGCGAGACACGAACGAACATTGTTCTCTATTCTCTTTTTCTGTTTCTATTTTTTTTTCTTTTTTTTTTGTCTGTGACTAATCCATGTGGCTCTTACCAAGTCATCCTCTTGAATTGTTCGCAAGCAGCTTTTAGGAGAATCAAACGATTTCGTAAGTGTGTACAAAAGACACGTTCAAGTAGATGACACGACACTCATCCTTACACAGTCTTTTCTTTTCTTTTTTTTTTTTTCCTTTCTTTTCTTTATTACGTGCGCGCGGGTTCTCCCGTTCCGGGTATTATCATCGTTTCTCAACTTGATTTACATTATCGATCGTATCGCTGCTGTCAGCGCACGATCCACGATCTCAGTACACTGGAATTGTTAATTATCAGCTGATTCACGAGAAGATGATATTTGGGAATAATTACTCGAGGGGGAAAAAATTCGTAGAAATTGTAAGAGAAATTAACAATTTGATAAAATTTCCAAGATAGATCCAATTGCGTTTTATTTGTTACTTTGTTTTACATAGTTACTTTGTTACTAAGTTTGTAAAATTTGCAAAAATTGTACGATGAATGAATTTTCGAATCAACGAGATTAACGTCTAGGATTGTGCATCGATGAGATTATTTAACGCAAATCGAGTCTCCAAAATTCGCGCAACATTCGTATCGGCTAGTCGTTGTTACTCGTCGAATCTCATCCTGGCATAATTGAGTTCCATGATTCTGTTTTTGCGGTTTTTCTTTACGTAGATTCACAGAGATTGCGGAGATATTTTTGTCGAGGAATTCGATATCTCGCGAAAAAGAAACCGTGAAAATTTCAATTTCGAAAAATTGTACAGGGCCTGCCACGAGACCTAGGAACACATATTTTGAGTTAGTCACGCCATTTTTCAACTTATCAGTTTTTAAGTTGAACATCGTTAACACGTTATCTGCTTGCGACAAATAATCATTTTTTTTTTTCGATCATTTTTTCACGCAATCAGCACCGATTTTTTCAACGAAACGTATCTTTCACCACTGTTTTGTGTTTATTTTTTGTTTTATCGTGATACAATTGATTTGCCAACGATGAATCGATGCAAAATGATGATTTTCATTGAAATTTTTATAGAGAATATTTTCTGTACATTTTCGTAAAAATTTGTTATGTGTTTTTGTTTTATTTGTTACAACGACTCGTACGTTATTCGTGAAGTTTTTATTGTTCCTGTGATTTCGCCGCGACTCTTTGCTTGGATTTCGTAAAAAACAATTCGAGAACAGTAGTAAGTCTGCTACTATTTCTCTTTCCTTTAATTTGTTATTCTTTTGATGATTTGGTACCCTGGTTTTTCATTGCTCGGTAATTTCGTTCGCTTTTGCTTGCTTTTTGATTCACACAAAAGTAGCTTAGTACAATACTTTGATTTCCTGGTATTTTCGTACTCGTTCCTCTTCGCACGGACCGATTCGAGATATCCACGTTTCATTTCGAAATGTTCCAACAAATCTCTGATCACTTACACAAGAAACAAAATTTGCTATGGAATAACGACCAAAGTAAAATCTTCACAAACTTTTTCAAATGATCTCGTATCACTTCTACGTAACAAAGAAATCTTCAAAATTCAAAATTTGCAATAGAATCGGAGCCGAAGTAACATTTTCAAATCTTCCAAATTATCTCCTACCATTTTCACCCAAAGAAAGAATCTTCAAAATTCAAAATTGACAAGGAAATCAGAACCAAAGTAAAATCTTCAAGTCTTCCAAATTATCTCCCCCCAACTTTCACCCCCCAAAAAATCGTCAGAACTCGAAATTGACAAGAAAATCAGAACCAAACTATAAAATCTTCCCAAACTCCCCTCAAATCCTTCAAATCCTTCAAATTGACAATTCTACTTACAAAAATAAAAACAAAAAAAAATCTGATATCTCTCATTGGTTGGTGCGAACAGTCGCGCGCACTAACACAATCTATTACGGTCGGGTGATGGTGTTGTGGGTTTTGCTACGGTGTGTCGGTGCATGGGGGTGGTGGTGGTGATATTCTGGCGCGTGTCGCTTTTCGTGCACCGGCTGTGAACTGTCGTCCTCCTGTGCCTTCCTACCCGCTCGAACCCTGGCAGGTGGATCGTCCTGCTTAACGCGCAACCCGGTCACCGGAGACGGAGTTGACGTGACGCCTATGAGGCGCAGCGCACGAAGGTGTCGAGGTAACGTTATTTGCCCACTCTTTCATTTTTTTTTTCCTTTCTTTCTTCAATCTTAGAAAACAAAAAACCAAAAAAGTAAAGCAAAGAAAAGACAGTCTCACGTCTTTCATCAACCGTATATCCCCATCAACGATTATACAAATATTTCGTTTCAATCTCTCTCCTTCACTTATTCATTCTTGTCTTTTTTTACCATTATTATTATTGTAATTATAATAATTCCATCCTCTTCTTCGAGACAGTTTTTCTCATCGATCACACCAGGTAATACAGAGAAGATTGATAATCTTCTACCACCATTGTCCAAAATTATCAAGGGATCACCAGTCTTTTATTGTTTTTCTCTTGTTCTTTCTTTTTTCTTTCACAGCCATTCTGGCGAAATTAACGGACAGGAGTTAACAGACTATCGTGTACGGTACGCTATTGTCTAAGGGGTGGCACTTTAACCCCTCGATTCACGTGAAATACAGGGTGCGTTCATGTGAATTATAGGGAGTCAATTTTATTTTGATCAGAACGATGCCTGGGGTTTGTTCGAATATATCTGATTGTACGTGTGTACTTCGAACATGTTGTACTTTTTTTGGAGGGGGTGGAAAGGGGTGGGAATTGATTGGAGGCGTGTGTGAGTCAGGGATAATTGTGACTCACTGTTTGTGGTTCAGTCGAGTAGTATTATCGGATACGAGATAAACGAGATTACGTTATTAGTATTATTGAATTATAAATAGTCGTGAAGTGGTAGTGTGTGATAACGTTTATCTAATTTCTTCGATACAAGCGTGTGTGACTCATTAAGAACGTGTGTTCTCGAAACGAGAAATTTCTTTTCAGCGTTGTGTTATCCTTCGTTGGTTTTGGACGATGGCGGCCGCACGCATAAGCTGCAAACCAGACGAAAAAAAGAAAGAAAAAGAAAAGAGGACGTAAACATTTTTTTCTTTCAACTTTCTCCACTGTTTTATACTTTATCGTTTTCTTTTTTCCCCTTATTATAGCCTTTCGTCGACGGAATTTATTTCTGTAGTTTTCGCTGGCTGATGAAGAGGATCGGGATTCCGTTACGATATATACATATTATAATCTTTCTGTATTTGTTCCTTAGTTACAACTGCAACGATTGTTTTTTTTTTTTGTTGTTGTTGTGTATGTGTTTATTGGTAATTAGTTACAGATTTGGTATCGTTTGGTTGGGTTTATTTAGTTGTCATTTTTCTTTCATACGAGAAGAAACACCTTTCGATGTTTCCTTGTTTCGAACGAAGCGCAATTGACAATGATTCCAAAGAAATATTTAAAATATTGATTATTCAAAATTTTAGAAATATTTAAAATAATACAAATATTTCAGGAAAATTTCTAAAATTGACAATTGCCCTTCGAAATTTAATATCCACACCCTTTCGCCCAATTTGTGTAATTATTTTACATCCCCGTTTTTCAGAATTGCTCGAATTTGCATAAGATCCGAGAGAAAGCTTAAACGATCAGACAATTCGAGTAATTCGACGTGTTTCATAGGTTGACATACACACACAATAAAACACACATAGTTCGTAATAGGGTACGGTAAGTTCGTATCACCTGTGTACAGTAGAACGATTACGCATTCCTTGTCTTGCGTAGCGGCTAAGTTCTCCAATGCAGCTCTCACGAATATTATTATACATACAAGTATTTCTTTATCAGTGCATCGAAACAACTGGTTGTATCTTATATTTTTACGCTTAATTGCCTGTCGAGTAAATTACCTGCGTGTGTGCCTGTCCCCTATTTTTTTTTCTCGGGCGTGTGTGCGGGAAATGTAGAGGAGAAAAGAGTCGCGAAGGGAGAGAGCCAGCATGTGGATTTCGCGTGAAATCTTGATTATCTCTATGACACAGTGTTTTACAAACCAACAACGACATTCTCGTATCAGGTGTATAAAAATTACGTACGCTTGTGTGTATTACAGCATAGAATGTGTAGTTCATATTTTTTCGCGTGTTTGAAATTGCACCGGGAAACTGACCGGTGATCGATCAGGCTACTTGACGGTTTTTATACTCCTGATTATTATTGCATGCGTCTGGTTCGAGATCGATTCTTTCACCCGAACTAGTAGAGAAAGCATAGCAACGTGTGAAGGAAATGAGAAGTTTTGTGATTTGAATTCTTACGAGTGATACGATATTTCGGAGGATTTTTTCAGTGTAAGTGGAGTCCATTTTTTTTTTTTGGAATTTGAAATGTATGGGCGTTGTTTTAAAAGGTTGGAAATTTGGAGTGGGGGGGATTTTGAAATTTAAGGGTACATTTTGAGGGTAAAAGGAGTGTCTGGCGTTGGAAATTCGAGAGAGAAAGGACTTTGTGAAGTTCGAAATTGAAGAGCGATGGGAATTGATAAATTTTGGAATTTAGAAGTGGAGGAACTCTCACTTCTGTAACTCAGGAGGGAAGGAACTCTGAATTTTGAGACTCGAGAGTGAGGGAACTTTCTAAGACTGAAAATTCAGCAGTGAGGAAACTTTCTGAGGTTCAAAATTTAAGAGAGACAAAATTTTCCAAATATTGAAACTTCATAATAAGGACACTTCCAATTTTAGAACTCGAGAAGGGACGAAACTCTCAATTTTGGAGCGTAGAATCGTGGAAAGCTCCCAAACTTCAAAATTTATTAATCTGGCACCTCCCCAAAATTTCGACTCTCGAGAGCAAAACACTGCCCCCAATATTAAAACTCACGAGTGTGAGAAAAGTCAAGAGTGGGGTCATTGACCCCCCCCCCCAAAGCACCAATTGATTTTACCCGAACTGTACCCGCACTGCAGATACTCAAACATCCGAAACCTTCCCCCAAAACGACTCTACTTACACTCAAAAACCTCCTCGTGAATCTTCAAAAGAAGAATAAAAATAAAATAAAATCTCTATTACAATAATACCAGAAAGAAATACAGGGTGAGTCACGAGAACCAGAGCACAGAAACAGTCATCGTAACTTATATACTACTTATCCTCATTCGTCGTGATTCATCCTACATACAATACAAACATCCAAATTCCCCAAAAATAAAAAGGACCAAATTGGAAAAGCACACCATTCACATCGCGTCTGTGTATGTCTGTAACGTGTCAAATGAGAAAAACCTTCCTCTGAAATATCGAACTGTTTTTCGCAGATGGTAACCCGGTAACCGGAACTGGCTACGCAGAGACACAGAACAACCACGGGCCAGCCGTGCAAAACGGAACGTCCAGCTCGAATTCTAGCGAGAAATCGAACGACACGTCGCCAGCGGCGAAGCTTCCGGCTCGTGCACGCGTGCCACCCGGCGGATACTCATCCGGATTGTGGTAAAAAGCCCTTGGACAACCGCTGATCGGCATCCTTCTTTTTGGTTCGCCGCCGTTAACCCTTCCAGTGCTGGAACATCCAAGGAAAAAAAAACGAAAAGAAAAAAAAAACACGAAAAATACCCTGGTGGCCCTCTTCTTCTTCTTCTTCTTCTTCTTCTTCTCTAGAACGATCCTAGAACACAATTTTTTCATCTCTTTTTCAGAATAAAAGTTCCTTTCTTTTTTTTTCTTCTCCTTTTGTTCTCCGAAGGGAAGACCGCTGACGACGATGACCCGAAAAGAAAAATTTAATACTTGTTCTGTTCGGTTCATCGAGAGTTGATTCGTTTAACGTTGACTTTTCCGTTAGATCGTGTTCTCTGTATCGTGTGTCTATAATACAATTGTCGCATCGTTTAAAAAGAGAAAGAAAAACAACAAATATACAAGGGAAAAGAGGAAAGACGTAGAGTTAATGTCAGAAATCTGGCACAGAATATCGTGTGTAGCTTCGTTCTTCAAGATGTTTTCGAATCACGTCTCCTAATTATGTCGTCCTTTTCACACTTCCGGACTCGGAAGAAATCTGACAGGCAATCTATATTAAACGCTCGACGATTTGTCCCCTCGCGATCTTCGTTTTCTTCGTTCAATTCTCTGTTTAATTTATTTCGACTCGCGGTTATCCGCGTGTTTCTTCGTTGTCCGCGTTCAATTGACCAGAAGGGAGAGAAAAGATTTCTCCCTTGCACTTCTATTAACTGTTTCATTCTGTTTTCCTTTTTTTGTCGAACGGCACTGGAAGGGTTGATGTGATGACACGACGCAGGAAGAAAGTGTTAACTCGAGAAAGGAAAAGAAAGAAAGCATATTTGTCATCCCCCTATCCCCCCCCCCCCGTGTGACGATCGTTTACGGTCCTAATTTGCCGTTTAAGCGGGTTTATAAATGATATATGATCGTTCAATTTTCACGGTGAAGAATGAAAAGATAGAAAGGAAGAAGGAAAAACACGTCATTCCCTCCCCCTCGGAATAATAATAATAATCCTCGGTTCCACGATTTTTTGTAAGCGCATAACGTCGTAAGAGATAAAATAGAAAAGAAAGAGAGGGAGAGAGAGAGAGTGTGTGTGTGCCGCTCGCGTTTCGAATCATATGAAAGATTGAAAAGATGAAGAAACGAGAAAGAACAAGGGAAAGAAAGAGAAAATAATATACAAAGGAGAGGGTGTAGTTTTTTCGGAACGATATGGTGTCCCATTTTCGAGAGGATTTTTACCCGCCTCCTCCTTTTTTTCTCCCCCACCGTTAAATGTCCGGCCGTTCTCTTTTGAACCGCACCTTTCTATAATATTCTCAGATCGTGTTACTCTGTACGGTATCGATATTCTTTGAACCGTTAATCCTACATTGATAAGAGACGGCCGGAGGTAGAGAGAGAGAAAGAGAGAGAGAGAGAGAGAGAGAAAGAGCGAGAAAAAGTATGGAATTAACAAGAGGAGAGAGAAAGAAACAAAAGACGATTTAAAAAAGAAAAAAAGAGAGAAAAAGAAAGTGGTTCTTTTTTTCCTGTTTTTTTTCTTCTGGAGTGGATGAGCAGCTTTCGTCGTCGTCTGGTTCGAGAGAGAGAGAGAGAGAGAGTTAAGGAGAAGGAAATGTGGTGGTTAGGAAAAAAGTGTTTTGGAAATACAGTGTTGTAGTTTCGAATCGCAAAAGAAAGAGAGAGAGAAAGAAAGTAAGAGAGAGAAGAGATATCCTGCCAAATTCTGAAAATGCGTTAAATTAGACGAGAGAGCGTGATGAAAAAAAAAAAAGGTGAAACACACGCGCGCGCGCACATGCTTCTTCGAATTTCGATAGACCGCTGCTATTGATCGGTTTCGTTTCTTTTCGTCTGATAAAGAGGAATTTGTCGTTGATACTTGACGATAGGCGTGGGTAAAATTGAAAGGAGAGGAAGAGAGAGAGAGAGAAAGAGAAGAGCGAATTACTATGCGAACGTCCAAGTGTGTGAGAAAACAGAGAGAGAGAGAGAGAGAGTCGAAAGAAGAAAAAGAAAGAAGTAATAATAATATTAATAATGATAATATTAATAATAATGATAATAATAAAGGTACATTATATATGTAACCCATTAAAAAAAAAGAAAAAAAAAGAAACAAAAGGTCAAGTGCTTTCTTAATTTCCGTGCCTTTTTAAATAATCGTATGTAGTTCTTTTATTCTGCATGAAAACGGCATTTCACGCAAACTTTTCATACTTAGAGGGATAGAGAAAGAGAGAGAGAGAGAGAGAGCAAGCACGGTTCCTTTTCTTTTCATTTTGGTTCTTAAGTATCATTTCGATGAGAAAATGAAAAAGAAAAAAAAAGAAGTAAATTGTTGGCTTTCTATACGCACTCGAAGTGCGTAAAATATTCATATTTGCAAAGAGAGAAGATCGCAAACTATTACTAATCGTATTTCTAGCAAGTTACTGCACACGCAGACACACTACTTTATCGCTCGATCTACCAACGTACATTAAACGATTACGATTACTTGATCCTATTTATCGCTGCATCCACTTAAACAGAGACGCAAACGTGTAACTTTCTGTCGGATAGAGTAACCAGTAATCATCGTTTTTCTTTTTTCTGTAGTCGTTCACCATTACCTGCTTCTTCCTTGTTTCACGATAACGCATAAGGAATTGTATTTATTGTTTCACGGTAAGACTCCCGTGCACACGATTTCTCTTACGTTTGGAATAGACAAATGAAAACAAAAAGCATATTTCTTCGTCGTTTTGGTGTGAGTAAAGAAAAATTTTACATTGTTTGTATCGCATCGTATTCTCGTTTCATAGCCTTTTGTACTCTGGCATTAATTAATAAAATTTTGTAAGCAACAATCGTCCCAGTTTCTCTTATCCCAATTTTTTTGTACGTAGCAATGTAATGAAAACAGCAATAAATTAGCATTTTTAATTTATTTTATTATTAAAATATATATAGGCAATATCAAACAATAATGCAAACTACAACGAAAATAATTAATTATAAATATATAAAATATCGTATAAAAACTCGTAATACTGTAACGTAACTGAATACAAATTAAGACATGATCGTAAATATGTAATGTTCCTTTGTCTTTCGTGTTTCACATTGCAGCAATTAGATCCCTTATGGCTGCTCCATTTGCTTTACACAGAGCGGTGAATAGATGTTTATGATTAGTCTCCTGTTCGAGTTTTTTCGAAATTTCATGCGCTCTGTTTGTAATCACAGATGGTACACCAGCCAATCGGGCAGCATTGAAACCATACGATTTTGGACAGGCTCCATCGCTGAGTTTGTACAAAAATGTTACAGTTTCCTGAGACACTTCGTCCTGTTCCTCGTTTTCTACCATGCATGCCTGTAAAAAATGTTTTACAAAAGTTGAAAGAGTAAAGAATATAAAAAAAAAAAGGGAACTGGAAAAAATACAAATTGTTTTTTCATACCATATGGGCTAACGTAATGTGCTTATTAGTTTTGTAATCTTCTACCAAAGAATGATAATGCGTTGAGAACAATGTACGGCAGTTCAATTTTGTGAGCGCATCTACAACTGAGGCGGCTATTGCCGTTCCGTCATATGTCGATGTACCACGACCTATATTTATCAAATAATATTTTTATTAACATGCTAATTTTATGTTGAAGATTAATAATATATGTAAATAATTATTTACCCAATTCATCTAATAAAACTAGCGAGTATGGCGTAGCGTGCTGCAATATTGCAGCAGTTTCGCTTAGCTCTACCAAGAAAGTACTCTGACCAGCCAAAATATCGTCATTGGCTCCTAATCTCGTGAAGATACGATCTACTAATATTAAATTACAAGAACTTGCTGGCACGTAACTTCCCTGTAAAATAGTAAAATGAATTCCTTGTCTATGATTTAAAATGTTGCGTGTCAATAAAACATACAATTTGGGCCATTATAGTAAGAAGCGCGACTTGACGCATGAGCGTTGATTTACCGCCCATGTTTGGTCCAGTAAGAATCATGAAAGGTGCAGAATCTTCAACTGCCAATAAAGTATCATTTGGTATGAAAGTATCTGAAAGGATGCACGGATGTCGTCCATCTCGTATATCGATAAATATCTATCAACAAAATGTTGTTTTTCAGTATTCTTCAGTGTATTTTTAGCAACTAAAATACTAAGCTACGTTGAATAAAAGTACCTTTTCATTTGCGTTATCGTTGACTTCCGGTACACACATATCGCCGCTGAGAGCGTATTCCGATAAGGAAATAAGAACATCTATGACGGACAATTTATAAACGGCCATGTTCCACATATCATACTTCTCGCTAAATTGTGCGAATATTCTTCTGTTTAGATCTTTTAATACTTTATTTCTATGTTCTTCCGCATTTATTTGTCGGCTCAGAAGTTCCTAATGAAATTTCATTTTAGTTAGATTTTGTTTAATTGCTTAAAATGTTATACCACTAACAAAAAAAAAAAAAAAAACCTTCGTCTCAGCGGTGCAATAGCGCTTGAATCCTTTTCTTTGTGACTGAAGCTCATAACCAGGACCAACTTTCTTCACCTGAGAATCCGGAATCTCGATCTGATAACGTTTCTTATCCGACCCGTGGTACGTGACTTTCACGCCGAAGTGCTGTCTTTGCTTTTCAAGATACCGTTCTAAATCCTTCTTCACTTGCGCGAGTTCCAGTAAAAGGGAATCGTATTCATCGTCCACTCCTTTCTTTGGAACGATGCAACCTACTTGTTTGGCCTCCTCGTGATCGAACGCGGTCTGAAACATGCATGTACCACAAAATTGTATCTTGCTTAATGGTGATCATCCGAATGCAAATGATATTAATTACCTTGAAGTAATCTAAAGATTCTCTTAATGAAGGAAATTCGCCATCCGGTTCCACTTTGGTACAGCGAGTTATTAGCGGACTTTTGAAATCTAGAAAACAGGTACACTTTCAAATTCAGACTTATCGATTGTAATTAACAATTACACAGTGTACAGAGGAAGTGTAATTACCTTCGAATAGAGCGACTACTTTTAAAACCTCCTCGAAACCATTCAAAGTATTGGTAAAATCTAAGATTTTTCTCTTTGAATACGTTTTACCTTCGAACATGATTGCTCTGCCATCGGGGTGATTATTCAGCCTTGCTGCATTTCCGTGAGCATGGATCCTAAAATTGTAGAAATACATATTAAATATTCGTATTAATGAACAATCTAATTGTTAGTGTTAATTCCAACTCACTTGCTTAACAGTCTTTCAAGGTCAGGAATACTGGCTAGTATACTACGAGCAGCATGTACTACTTCTGAACAATCCATTAATTCTTGTACAGCTTCTTGTCGTTCAATTATAACATTTTTGCGGCAAGATGGTCGACAAATCCATTCGCGTAGTAATCTCTTGCCAAATGCAGTACAACAACGATCGAGTGTTTTCATCAATGAACCTTCGCCGAAAATTCTCAAGTTGTTAATGGTGACTGCATCTAAAACCTAATGATTATAAATTGTTAGTTTATTCATATGTTATATACATAGTATTATATGTGTATGTGACTAGATAAAATTTATAATTACCATATTATTTGCAAACTTGGAGGCTGTGGATGATTCACTTGAGAAGTCTGGCGGTATATACGACTTAAAACGTCCCTGCGCCAATAATTGCTGTTCAAGCAGATATTCTTTGAGCAAGTATACACATCCTCCTAAAGCATGCACCGCTAACTCTTTATCTTCAGCCGGAGTCAATCCTAAGCTATCGCCTAAAAACAAATAAATAATTGAATGTTAATAAATATTTAACTTTCCTTTATAAAATGTGTCAAAAATATTTACTTTGATTAAGATATGGTTGCAAGCCTTCAGGCCATTGAAATTCAGATTCCGACTTTTTGAAGTATCCTCCTTCGTGAAGATTCTGCAAATTGTGAAAAATATTTTCATAAATAAAATAAAATTTCGAAGCTTTCGTTCTATTATTACACTCACTTTTAATGTAGTCGAAGATGACCAAAATTGTGATTCACGCAAAAGTGGTTCCTTAATGCTTGTCGCTAAAGCGTTGTTTAAAATTTGTAATGTTTTTTGAGACAAATTGCCACGTTCGTATGCAACCTAAAATAAATATCAGACTCGTCTATTTGAACTTAATTATAAGTTCTTTCCATAAACACTTACATGAACTGGAGGATAATGTGCAAGCAAAGTTAATATTCTAGAATTGCAGCGATCATCTTCGAATTGCCCGAGATAGAAGTCTCCTATTGTAGTATCCAAGAAACACACTCCATAATGAGAGGTAGTTGAACCAGGTGGGCATTTTTCAATGAGTGATAATAAATAATTGGAATTTGGTGTGGATGGTTCTACATCCAATGCAGTGTATACCCTTGTACCTTTGGAACTTATTTGGCAGATTTCTCTTTTCACTACTTTGTCAAACTTTGTTACCTTTGCCACTGGAAATAGTGAAATTAAATTGTAATGCTTGATAACAATCATAAAATAAGTACGAATTTTTTTTATATCGTACTTTTACTACAGCGTTGCGACATCATTTCGGGATTCTCCGTTTGTTCTACCCTAGCTACCTTGTATCCTTTTTCTATAAGACTTGCCGAGAAACGACCATATCCGATTTCAGGAAATCCACTATGCGCTAACTCTCCCTACAATCAATCATATTTTCAAACATTTGAACTAATAGTAAAAGAATATTTGAGAAACTTACCTTCATAAATGTGAGATTAAGTTCATTGACACTAATCACAGCATCCATATGATATAATTCATAAAACTTTCCCACTTTGAAGAAGAGAACACAATCATAGTGTCTACTTTTCAATTCCCACCATTGCCTCATTGCCTAAAAAAATCGTATTATAGAATATTGAGTATCATATAGAGTCTGTGTATTATAAATAAAAATTAGCATCTTACTGGAGTTTGTTGATTCAAGAAGTCCAAAGGAACATAAAGAGTCTTGGGATCATAATTTGGATCACTTGCTGGTCTTCTGTTAATGTCCTTTATTTTATTTGGCTCAAGGAAATCATATTTTAAATGTCTCCATGTCTCTGTAACATTATTTGAACCTTGAACTTGAACTTGTTGAGGCTGCTTTGATTCCTTCTTATCCTAATAAGATTTAAATTAATTAAGTAAAATATACATATGTTTAATAAAATGAAATAATTTACATTTACAAACTTACTTCCTTAACAAATCTTTTTTTACCTCCTTGCTGCCTTTTTCCAGTGCCATTAGTCACTTTTCTTTTTTTCTGAAATAAAACTTGTATTAATCGGTATTCTGGGTTTTTAACTAGAATTAATCTCTTACCTCTGGAGTTTCCTCTTCACTTACACTCTGTGGTTCACTTTCACTAAATCCTTCAGACCCTGAATCAGACTCTTCTGATTCATCTTCTGGATCTGTATGCAAATGAAGTGAAATACATTTATTATTGCTATAGAAATAATATTAATGTTAATGGATTATAGTTCAATACAAACTAGGTTTAAATTCATCTCCAGATTCATCTCCAGATTCTACATCAGGAATAATCAGCCTTCGTTTCTTTGGCTGTATTACTTCATCTTCCTCTTTTTCTTCTTCTTCCTCATCATCCTTATGAATCCTTTTTCTGTCCTCAACAGTTTTATTTTCTTTTCCTTTGCCTGGAGTCTTAACTGTATGTAAGAACAAAAGTTATATCACCTATGTGACAGTGGTATGACAATTGCATGATACACATTAAATTTATTATTACAATGAAAATGTAAGATTTAAATTAACGTCATATTTTATCAATGTTTTATGTCAATTTTTCTATTTAAAAGCAACAACTGTAAAGTGGGACAGTTCGTGAAATGTAGATTTTTATAAAATCCGTACGTCCTATTTTACTTTCATATTACGCAACAAATAACATATGCAACTCAAACATTGTATAAAATGTATCTTATATCGCATGGTGTCAATTAAATTCATCATTCACACATGAATTGCCTTCAGAATATACCTTTGTTCCTTTGTTCCCTCGATCTTTTCGGAGTTGAAGATTTTTCTTCAGATACCGATTTATTCTTCGATTGTTTAGGAGTTTTGGGCGAGGTGAAATAATTATACAACGTGTTCACTTTCGACATAATGTCCTTTACAAATAGCAATTACAACCGTATAACAAACTCCGCCGAATCTTCTTTTACAACGATTACAACCTCATGGATAGATGGATTAAAATCCCGGCAAAACTTTGGTTTTCCTAAACGCATTAAAGTGGGATTCTGTGTTCTTAAATATCGTATAGGAAAATCGAAGTTTAAGCACAAACGAGGTATAGGATAGACCTGCACACCTAATGCATTATTTTGTCTACGTCGTAGGGGCTTTACTGCCTCCTTAGTATTTTCGTGTCGCATTAAAACGTTACCGATTCAGTCTAGAATAAGATTACATTAGAATTGGCTGGAATTAAAACTGTACCTAACTATGAAATTACAAATAAGGTGTAGAACAACGTATCATATAATCGTACACGAATCGTAGTGTGTAAGCGAGAAATGAATAGACTGTAAAATGCTGTAAAACAATACTGGTATATTGTAACCATTTGTAAAATACATTATGTACACGTATCTTACAGTAGATAATTGTTTTATCAACAAATAATTGCATTTCTTTGTTCTTTCCTGACGTTGAAGCCCTTTCCTTGATTTCTATGTTGTTCTGGAGTGTCCATGGTGTCCATCTATAACTCATACGAAAAGAATATTAATTCTCAAATGATAAATAAAAGTTAAACATAATTTCTAACTAATCCGTTGAATGCCATGGTTAATTCAATGCAAAATTAAAATATTAAACTGTTTTGTTAAGTTTAATTATAGAAACACAAATTATTCTATAATCAAAGTACTTGAAAATAAAGCAAAAACATCATTTTACTATTTACATTATAAGTAATGTTAAAGCAATTAAAAATTTATTATACGTATCCATTTTAAAA